CGACGCCGCCGTGGACGGTCGTTTCCTGTCTGGTTCGTCAGTTTGAAATAATATCAAAGTATGTGAATATACGAAGTTAGTAATGTTTTAGTAAAACTACACTTAAATTACGGTGAAACAAATTGTATATTGATTTTTTAATTTTTTGTATATTTATGAAACAGCTTTTGCCCGCGATTTCGTCCGCGTGGAATTAAAAAAAACCAAAAGTGAGTAGGTTTCCTTCCAGGCTATCTTCTACATCTATGTCAAATTTCAACCAGCTAGGCAACATCCATCCATCTAAACTTTCGCATTTATAACATTAGAGTGATTTTAAGTTTCTTAAATTAATGTTGAGATATTTTTGCGTTGTTACATTTGTCGTAAACAGTTTTTAGAACGTAAAATGCAAGTGGAAATCTTGGTTAAAAATCTAAGAGTTCAAAATTAGTATTTTTTGATACTAACTTTTATTTTATCTCATTAGAATAAATTATACAATAATTTTTCGTTAATTAAACTGTAATGGAACATTTAATTTTACATTTTGACGTTTTTCGTTAAGTTACTTTATTTTTGATGGTATTGAGTAAACGACAAGTTTTTTAAATCATTATTAAAAAAAGTAAAGGTTTAAATTACTACGTAAATAGGTCAGGTAGAGTGAAACAGTAGCAGGCTCTCAGAGAACCGTAACGGTATTTTCTAGCAAAAGGTCGAGTCGACACAGTTTTACTTCGAGCTTAATTACAGGTTATACGTTCGACGACATTTGAAATACCTACATTTATTTCTAGTATTCTTTCTTGCTGTTTTTAGCTTTTGTCAACAGATTCATAGAAGATATTGGTTTTATAATACAAAAGTTTTAAGCAATATTGTTTGTTCTTATACGCCATTTCTTAATGATATATATTTTTATAAAAGACAGGGTATCTTTTGAAGATCCCCCCCCCCCGATACCATAAAAACATCATTTCTTAAACCATAAAGGCGTAATGTCTTTTCTTCGTTTACAAACTTACTTCTTACTAACGGATGGTTAATTTGGTAGAGCAAAGTCTGGAAGAACACATAGGCTATTTACTTTTCCACGCAGACAGATTCGAGAAAGAAAGCTAGTCTTTACTATATGCTAATATCCTTATACCCCCTTTAACTGGTGCGGTTTAGTAAGCGATTGCTATTTCCATGAACAATGTGTGTACCATTTTCTCTTACACGATCGCTCTGCTATAGTTGAAAGAGAATTTTACTTATAGAATGTTAGGCTCGGTTCTATTGGTGTAATACATTTGAATTTATCTCAGTTATTTAGCGGCGTAGGGTCGTTCAATCGTTTTGCATAATTATTTCCGTACTCCGTGGTCTTCGGACCCGTGGCTTATCTCGGGGAAGATGATATTAAGATAAAACGTTCCTTTATTCTGGGTATATAAAATCCGACTATATACATCATAATGAAGGTTAGCGTGGTATGGACATATTATGCGACGAAATGATGGGGACATAAACCAGAAAGTGTTGAGATTGAATGTGGATGGCTACAAAGGAAGAGGAAGACCGAAGAAAGTATGGATGGATTGTGTGAAGGAAGATATGCTTAAGAAAGGAGTGGATTCAGATATGACGGCTGATAGAGATGTATGGAAGAGCAGCACATACTGTGCCGACCCTCCATAAGGGATAAGGGCAAGTGGATGATGATACATCATAATGAAGGGGTACTGGTATACAAGATTTATTTTCTATTACCTATACTAATATTATAAAGAGGAAAGATTTGTATTTTTGTATTATTCACCGTTAGAATGGTAATTTATCTGTGAGTAAGATAAGCTATATTTTTCTAATTTTGCGCGGGTGAAGTCGATAGCTACAGCCAGTAACTAAAATACAGTGAAAGAACCACCAAAAAGAGTAGAGAAGATTTTTTACCCGACTCTATTCTTACTCTTGTAACACTCCTGAAAGGAATGTGAACAATCAAATCATAATAGAATTCACGTTACTATAAAAATGACTCACCTCGTACCAATCATATTGCAGTTTGACTTTTCAATGTGTAACTGAACATTCATTTCCAATAAATAGCACTATACAGTTTGTGTTTGGATATATGAAGCATTTTCTTTGTACAAAAGTAATTAAAACCCGCGTTCAACAACTGCCCATCAATTATACCGCCGTAATTAAGCATCGTGCTCCCTTCTCTCATTTGCATACTGATACGGGATCGAAGTGTCGACCTTTTAAATATTCTACGGTTATTTCTAATAATAAATTAAGTTTGTGTACATTACAATTTATTTACTTGTTTAATTTAATTTGATATATCATATTTATTACGTATTTACATAAAGTACGACTCATAATCTAAGAGTATTTTGAATTACGCTTAACTAAATACAAACGCGTTCTAATCTGCTATTAACGCCATCTAGTTCTATTTTAAAGAAACTTTAACAAACCGAAAAGACAACTCCATAATATTCTCTGATTAATATCGAATCCATTTGCACCTTTACTATAATTATAATTGATAAATTTTATATTACGATGTTTATAGATAACTAGACGACTATAACTACACTGAAGTACTGCAACCAGTCCACTAATTTAATTAGTGAGATGAAGACGCATTGTAAGCCGGCTTACGGAGTGCAGCTTGTCTGTACTGTCTATTAAGTTAAGAACTATACAAGTATATACTATTGTGCATGCATTTAAAAGCCCATGTTAATGTTTGATTCACTGAAAACTTAATAAACTTAAATATCTTAAACTTTGGTGAATTTGTGTGGCTTAAGGTGCACGTTTTAGTTATGTACAAGCATTTTTTTCTATCTTATCCTTTCTACTATTATTTTTAATGGCGAAAGATTTTTCAAAATCGGTTCAGTAGTTTTTATTTTAATGAAAAAGTTTTGGCAGCAGATATATGGTTAAAACCAGATGTAAATTCTATTAAGTCTTTTGTTTTTATGCTTCCAAATTTGAATCTAGTCTTCAAAAACAAAAGACTATCAAATCATAAATGTTATCATTGGCATAAAGCTTTGCTCTATTATTTAAAAACGAAGTACGCAGAAGAGCCAGAACAAATTGTTTGAGGCACTTATAAAAATGCAAATTGTCTCGTCTCTCAACACTTCACTCTGAGTGTGGGGTAATGCATATTTCACGTATAAAATAACGACGCTGTTTTATAAACAAATTTACATATACTTGAAGATAAATGGCGAAGAAATTGACAAGAAATTTTGGATGCAAATTTCTTTTTTCAGAGTACATCGATATATTTTATATTTAAGACAAGAAAGAATTGGTATTTAGGGTGTTCGTGTTGGTTTAAAAGATATTTAGATAAATAATTTCACAACGACAGAGAATTCCTTTCTAAAAAACGTCACGTATTTTTACAAACTTGCAACATTGAATGTCGAACACAAAGGATATAAGTAAATGTACAAAATCCAAAATGAAACAAAAAACACGATGAAAATCTTTACAATTCATTTAATTTTGAACGCTCGAAATATTCTTCAAACGGAGTATCTCTTATTAAAATTCCGTCCCGCACTCGGAGGCCCTTAATCACAGCTTGCCTTTCACAAAAATAAAAGTACAAGCCCTTTTCTACGTTCACTTTTGAATGTAATTGAATTTTATTGTTATTTAAAAGACATCAGACCTTGAAATATTAAACAGCATTTAATGGTACGCGAGTAAATTTATAAAGTATTTTGTATATAATATTCTTATTTTTGAAATAAATGATACAGGAATGACCTTGATTTATGATTTATGACCTTTACAATAAAAAAAAACGTTTGGAGCACGCACACTTTTGATTAAACTATCGCACAAGTGTTTGCGCGCTATGATACCTACGAGCTTATATGGAAGTGTGCACACGATTTGATTTTTAGTTGTGCGACTAAACAGTTTAGTTGGCAGGAAAACAGACAATCGTATTACAGTTGTGCGGTAGTTTGTTCAAAGATGTACGCCCGATCTCAATGAGATGCTATGAAGTACTTGATTATGGATAGTGTAGTGTTTACTTTAAAGTAATAGGCAATTATAAGATGATCGGCGTTAAAGCAGGCAGGTAACATGAAGTTTTCACAGGTGAGTGCGGTCGCCTCTTCAATTAGTGCAGCAGACGGAAAATAAGTCGATGCTCTAACGCACCGGCGACACGCCTCGCCCCAACCTTTGAAGTATGCTCAAGTTAACGCGTTATTACCAGCTTGTTGGTGATATTTTTGTTGGAATTTTCACATTTTATAGCTAGTTAATTTATAAAATTTAAATGCGTCGTCCAGTTTTCGGTTAGTTACTGAACTATGTTTTTTTTTAATTAAATACTCTTTTACTATACTATCTTACTAATATTGAAAATCTGAAAGGTTAGATGGATATACGGATGTTTGCTAGAGTTTGTTGCCTAAACTTCTTAACGGATTTCGCTGAAATTTGATACTGATGTAGAAGACAGTCTGAAAAAGCACATAGTCTACTCACTATTGTTTTTTAAAAGTACGGACCGTGTCGCGGGCAAAAGCTAGTTTATTAATAAATTCTTCATATACATGTGTGTTAGCTTACCAGGGTAACAGAATGTTGGCGGAGTTTAATCCATCAAGCGTCATATCAAACGGGTATTGTTGAGCGCGCCAGAATAGATTCCCTTTGTATTTCACTCAGACTTCTCGACGAGGCCATACTAAAAGCGAAATATGTATTACATACCTTCGACAAAGTATACACTTTCCTTTCAATATTTATAAGCTAGCTTTCGTCCGCGAATTCGTCCGTAAGAAAATAATAAAAACCAAAGTAAGTATATGTGTACTTCCAGACTATCCTATCCTCTACATCTATGCCAAATTACATCTAGATCCGTTCAACTATAATAAACATCCATCCATCTAAATGATCGCATCTATAATATTAGTAATATAATAAGCATGAACATGTGAATTAAAATTTTTAAATTCTTCTTGTTACAGATTAACAATGTACGGACGGGTCGCATTGTTTTTGATACAGCTTGTGTTGCTGACGCATGCATATGCTCAAACTGGTGAGTTGAAATGTTAAAATTTAGAGGAAAAAGGCCGCTATGGACAAATATCTCATCATCAAAGTCGAGTCTAAATTCGATAGATTGATTCAAGAAAAAAAGATAATTATGCCAGAGTTCACATAAGATAGATAAAGTCTGTGCGATCTATTTTTGTAAATTGTCTTACAATTTATTTGCTCTATAAGAGCGCACAACTGTTTAGTCTCGTTTTGATTGCTATAAACTCATATGAAGGTACACACAACTCGATTTTTAGTTGTCCAACTAAACAGTTGAATTGGCTGCGAAACAATCGACAATCGCACAACAAAGCCAAAGGTCGTTCTAAAAGTACCTTACATACCCAGTCGTTTATTGTAAGACATATATCATCTCGTGCTGAATTAGATCAGGATAATTTTCGAAAAAAATATAACATTGCTAAAGAAAATAAAACTCAAATTACAGAAACCGAATCACCTACAACTTTAACAACTAAAGCTCCGACTACAACAACCAGTACGACGCCAGCGCCGACAACAGTGGTGTGGGAGACAGAGACATTAAACGAGGGTCAGGCGATACAGAAGGCACTGCAGTACCTCTTGCAGCACCGGCAGCTGGATTGGGGCTGGGGGAATGACACTCATCATGTTATGCTCACGTTACAGGTATACTTATATTTTCCAGAAGATGTAAGTTTAAATGAATTAAAAACTGCAATAAATACTGATTTAATTAAAATATGACATAACTGTTACTATGACGAGCAAGGAAAACAAAGTGTCCTTTGTTTTAACAGATAAAAACTATCCTACTAAAAATTCACTAGTGATTTCTAAAAACATTTAAGCGCAGGGCATGAAATGACTCTTTTATAGACGAATTATTATATTCAATAATCCTTAAGAGTATAGAGAATAACACCTATCTATACTAATATTGTAAAGAGGGAAGATTTGTATTTTTGTATGTATTGAAATAACTACAAAAAAAAAAACTACATTGCCGATTTCAAAGATTCTATCACCGTTAAAAAGCTATGTTATCGCTGACTAACGTTGGCTATATTCTTTAAATTTGACGTACACGAAGTCGCGAAAAACAGCTAGTTAAATTGTTAACAATGTTCCTAAAAATGTCGTCTTGTGTATTTCAGCTGGCTAATAATACAGGCAAGGAAATAGAACAGCAAGGATTGGAGATGCAGCTGTCAGCTAAACAGATGGAGATTGAGATATTGCTGATGATGTCTAAGTAAGTAGAAATCAATACTTACTGAAAATACGAAAATGGAAATCTTGCTTCTTACTTAATAAATGTGAAAGTTTAGATGGATAGATGATTCTGTAGCCTAAACGGCTGAAAAGCTCTTGACTAAATTTGGCATAGATGTAGGAGTTAGTCTGGAAGAACACATAGGATATTTACTTTTGTTTTTATTTTAATTCCACTCAGACTGAGTCGCGGTCGAAAGCTGTTAAGCTATAAATCTGAACGGCCAGTGTTTTATATCAAACAAATAATAAACCAGGATATAGTTCTTTCGCATCCTTTTTATTGATATAAAGATCATGTCACAATCAAATTATAAAATCTAGAAAACTTTCGCTACATTGTACATATATAACCACGTTTTAACACAAATTTAATAATTTCCCCAGACATCACGAGTCACCTCCACCTCTAGGTCGTCTAGCTGCGTATACGCTAGCTCTAGGTGCACTCTGTAAGGACCCGCGTTCTTTCCACGGCCGGGATCTAGTGGCCGCACTCCTCCATAGGGAACCTCCACACGATCTGGAGTTCGCGTACGCGACGCTCGCTGCGTGTTCGTCTGCAGCTCATGTTCGCCGCCGGCATATCCGAAGACTGTTGGATATCGCTAATGCTGCTGCGGACCATAGTCTTGGTAAGACATTTTTGACTAAATGTTTTTCATCGTTTTTTTTTGTTTTATTTCCTTTTTTTTGTTTAAAAAGTTTGTTGAAATAAAAATTTATTGACCGTATGAAACAAAGTGTATAATGAATTCGTTTTTATGTAATAAAACCCTTGTTTTACGAAAAAGACCAACGCCAAAAGAGGCTTTGGGTGTATACAAGATTGAAGCAAAAGAAAAATTGTAATTTTACAGTAAAACAAGCCGGTCGACGATATAATTATCAGCTACATCATACCAAAGTTGTTTAGTTTCACTTTGATTTCTATGAGCTTATGGAGGTACACTAATCGATGTTTTGTTGTGCAACTAAACAGTTGAATGGGCAGCGAAACAATCGACAATCGTGCAACAGTTGTGCGATAGTTTAGTAATTAAAGAAGAAAATTACCTTCATATGGGAAAGGGACTATAAGCTGACAATATCAAAGAAGTGAGGTTGACATTGTAATGATAATTATCCAATGTCAAAGACTTTTGTTGTCATTTGTGCGTTTGCAATTTGACAAATGTAAACATTAAAAAAAAAAATATAATTTCATGGTAAAAAAGCCGCGAAATAACAGCTAGTAAATCATACAGATAACATTAAAGAACTAGAAGCGTTTAAATAAGACAAATGATTTTAAATAATTTAAATTCCTTGTCTAATTACAATATTTCAGATACTATATCGATGGTGATCCTGGCGCTGCGCTGCGTGGTGCAGGACCACCGGCACCGCAGTCTGATCCACTTCGTGCGGCGCCCCATGGCGGGGCTGGCGCGCCAGCAGCACCCTGATGGGAGCTTCGGCTCCCTCACCACTACTGCCCTCGCTATACAGGTAAAGAAACCTTAAAAAGACCATTTCATCATTCAATTTCAAACATAATATACATATATTTTTTATTTGCCTTTTTATTCCAGTAACTGGACCCCATTCTGGGTATAGGCCTCCTCCAACCTTTTCCATAAGTCCCTATCTTTCCCTTTCTTCATCCATTCTTTTCCCACTTCTTGTACGATATCGTCTTTCCAAGGTTGTTTTGGTCTGCCGACTTTCCTTGCGCCTGGTGGGCCTGTCCATTTCGTGGTTTCTGTTGTCCACCTTCTGTCTGTGCAGCGTGCGACGTGGCCCGCCCATTGCCACTTTAAACATATATATAGTCTTCTTTAATGCGAAATGCGATACCAGGTCTTAAATACCTGGTATATCTCTTGCTATAGCTTTATTACCGGGTGTATAACACCTGGTATCGCAAAAACTGAAAGAAAAATCTCTGCCGCTTTTAAATTACAAAAAGATAATTTTTAACTAAATATTATTCAAAATTATTTATTTTTACGTTTAGTAATCTACATAATAACAGATATCTACTGATGCAAGATTCGAAATTTCTGAGTCCGGTACTTTGTGACCTGATTTTTCGGTTACCCTTATTGTTTATGTTCGCGATATCTTCTAAACTATTTGTCCAATTTTAAGATTATAAAGGACAATTTTATTCTCCTGACAACTAATATCTATTTGGTTAAGGGTTTTTATTGAAACCAATAAAACAACGCCGCAAATAGCATACGGTTTTTAATTCATTGTTTTTAAAATCGACCGAGTAGTTTTTGCTTGAAAAGTACAAATCTTTCCTCTTTATTCAGTATATATCTATACTTTTATAATTATACTTATTATAATAAAGCGTAATTACACACTTTTTTGTTGCTTAAGATGTCAACAATTACAGTATATTTTTGAATAATATATTTTTTAATAAAACGCCTTACACTTACATCACGCTTTAGGGTATATATTTTCACGCCATTAAAATATTGGGGGTAAATATTTTAGATAAAAACCCTAACGTGGGAAAGAGACCATAAGTTGCTGCCAACATCAAGGAAGCAAGATTGCCATAGTTTGTCATCGTCATGTTATTTTGACATTTGCAATTGATAATTTGACACATGTAAACAATAAAAATAGTCAACCAACCCGCAGTGGGCCAGCGTGGTTGACTATGGCCTAGTCACCCTTACTTAGGGTAGGCTGCGAGCCCCTCAGTGGGGACGTATAGTGAGCTGGTGATGATGATGAATAACGTAAAATATTCATAAATTTATGCAGATGAAGTCGCAAGGGAACTAAGTGTAATAAATTAGAATCCTCTCATTCCAGGCTTTAGAAGATTCAGACAGCGGGCCCGGCGCGCACCAGCACTGGAGTCTGCCGGCGGCGAGGAAGTGGCTGGGGGAGCGGCAGGGGCCGGACGGCGGGTGGGGGGACGTGGCGAAGACCGCGGCCGCGGTGGCCGCGCTCACGCCCGCCTCGCTCGCCGCCGTCAGGCCGCCGCACTGCAGCGACAAGCTGCTCGACAGCAGACACGAACCACTCGGTCAGTGCCCTTTAGATATACTGATTTGCACCCAGTAGTTATAAAAGCAAATGATAATAATGCATTTTCATTTCGTTTTCATTTCGTTTTAATTTCATTTTCGTTTCATTTTCGTTTAATTTTCATTTCGTTTTCATTTTGTTTTTATTTCATTTTCATTTAATTTTCATTTCCTTTTCATTTAAATTTTATTAAATTTTCCTTCCATTTTAAATTCATTTTGTTTTCATTCCAATTTCGCTTTCACTTCATTTAAAATTGTGAAAACAGCACCTAAAAAGATTACCATTTTTTATGGTCTGTGCTACTCTGTTGTTCCCCTAACACATTTTTAGTGAAGTACCTGGCGGGTGTATCTTTATTATTTTATTGTTTTTTTTTTTAAGTTAAAATTTAAATTAACATTAAAATCTTATTTCTATCCATCTCAGTTCATATTATGTCTATCATTTATTACTATATTTAACTTTATTAAAAATATTGTAATAGTTATAATTAAATTTAAAATACTATATATACTAGAAAATTTTGACTACATATAAAAAATTAAAATTCATACAGTCAAAATACAATACAATATTTAAGATACAACAATACTGAAATTAAAAAGTAAATTTAAAGAGGTCAAAATTAAAAGTTAAAAGAATACTAAAACTACACTCTATTCCTCTTAATGACTAGGTTATTGATTTGCAGAAATTAAGTATTAAATCTTTGATGTGTCCTCTACGTCTAAAATCTTCTACAAAATGACCCCAAAACCTTTACAAAGTCAAAAACATTTTTATGTTTTCTACAGATAACTAGCTGTTCCCTTACGACTTCATACGCATAAAATCATAAATTTTATTTTATTGTTTACATTTGTCAAATTATACATTGCAAATGTCAAAATGGCAGCAACTTATGATCTCTTTCCCACATTAGGGTTTTTATTCAGAATATCTACTCCCTAAGTTTAATAGCGTGGCAATATATAGCCTAAAGCATGACGTAAGTGTAAGGCTTTTTATTAAAAAGACAATTATTCAAAAATTTGCTGAAATTGCTGACATCTTAGGCAAAGAAGTGTGTGTTTACGCTTTATTATAATTATAATATATAATATAACATAATATAATAATAAAAATCTACAGATAATAATGGCGGCGATGGCAGTTTGAAAGTTGCTTATCAATCTGGTCACAATCATAACGACTCGGACGCGCGCAACGTTTCCTTCACTTACACGCTGTGGCTCGGCACCAACGTTACTGAGAACTATACACTGTATATGGTTGCTCCGAGGTAAGGAAACAACAATTATCACTAGCATAAGTAATCCAAAGACATTTTAATAATATATAAATAAATAAATAAATAAAGCTTTTATTTCCCATTACACACATATGTACATACATAACATTTACATTATAACTTAGAAGTAGGTATTAACTATTGTATACTATTACATTAAAATGAATTTGAAAGGATTGCAATTAAGGACATCTAGCGTTAATAAATATTTAAGTTGATAACAATACAAAAATAATAATTAGTAACTATGTTATTGTTATTTTTCTTTCTCTTGTTATGTGTAAGGGCCGCCAAGAGCGGTAAAAGCCTTAATAATATATAGACGAGACTAAATAGCATTTTCTCACCGGTATCTCTGAATGGTACTATATCTGATATAGTACTTTAACCCAGTTCTGTCCCCACGTAGTAGAGCCCGCTTTCATATCTTTGCACTGTAGGGCCGACCTGCCCGCAATACCACGAACACACAAGGCAGGCGTGAAGTGGGAATAATTCCGCGTTTCGTCTGATGAGTGTGGTGCTGGAGACTTAATTTTAGTCCCTTTTCCTTTTCACCCTTTTATTAAGAGGAAATAATGGGAAGGAAAAGTGGATTTAACGGTGGAGACGTATAGGAAGGGGAAATGTCCTCTTTATGTGAGTCTCCTCCTCCGTCAATTAAGGGTAGGCAAGGCATCTGCAATTGCGGATGTTTATGGGCAGCGGTCGCTTTCCATTTCAGTGGATTCAGCTGCTTGCGCGTTTGCCAACTTATATTATAAAAAAAGATCAGAATAAAAGTTTCATCCGTCCCACCTTCTGCGTCGAGGGGACGGTTGGAACTTATTTTATTTCATTACAGTTCCATCTGTCACATTATTGTGGGACTAAAAAGTAAGATGTATAAAACTTTTTATTCTCATCTGTTACCACGTGGGGACAAAACGGGGTGATGGTTGGGAATAATCCAATTTAGTCACTTATTAATAGTGTTTACGTTTAAAGATTTTCCTATTTTTTCAGTCCCTGCCAGAAGTAGCATCATAATGATGACTCGTATAACCTTCTAAATGTAAATGTTTAGATGGATGGATGTTTGTTAGAGTTTTAAGTCTAAACTGTTGAACGGATGTGGATAAAATGTGACATAGATGTAGGGGATAGTCTGGAAGACCACAAAGTCTATTTTGGTTATTTTTTGCCACGCGAGCGAAAGCTAGCCGTCTATAAAAATGGAAAGCCGTCATTTTGATAATAGCCCATGAATAGAATATTTTATTTATATACTGTATATTATGTATGTATTTTATATAATTTTACACAAAAAAAATGTTATACAAGTATGCTACACTCCTCTACATATGTAATATTGTAACCACCGCACCCGCGGACAAACCAATTATATGGTTTTTGTGGGGCCATATTTGTGCATCTTTTTAATTTGTGTTTTATGTAATATTTTCAATAAAAAAATATATTTCTTACGGTTAGGAGTAATTCAAAAAATTGCTAATATTATCTCTGCTGTTGATTTGCAGGAACATATCTTTCTACCATGTTATGCAAATGGCAGCTGAACAAGAGCCTAAGTTCAAGTTCGAGGCAAGTGAATGGCCCAACGGTCACTATGTGCACACTCTGGCGGGACATAAGGAGGAGCCGATGGGCTACCACTACTGGCTGCTGTACCGCCTGCCCGAGGTCCCCGACCCTGCCAGCCCCCCTGGCAACCAGCTTGTAGCACCAGTCGGTGAGTTACTGATTTCCTTATAGCAACTTCTTTTTTCTTCCTAGCTTTTTTACCGACTTCCCAAAAGTATGAGGTACTCAATTCATCTGTTTTTTTTTATGTGTTACGGCATAACTCCGCCGCAGGTAGACAGATTTCGATAATTCTTTTTTTATCTGTATGGTAGAGCTTGCAGGTGGGGTTTATTATAGCACTGAGTTGATGTTGGTTGTAAACAGATTCAGAAAGATATAGAGTAGCATACTCTTGAAACATTTTTCATATGCTCCATTAACTGTCTATTCACCCCCAAAACATGTAAATTGTATTTATATTTATTATATAATGTCTAAATGATTTTATTTTATTTTGTAGCACTATATAGTTTATCATACTTCGTACTAATATTATAAATGCGAAAGTTTAGATGGATGGATGTTTGTTAGCGTTTGTAGCCTAAACTGCTGAACGGATTTCAATGAAATTTGGCATAGATGTATAGGATAGTCTGGAAGAAAACATAGGATACTCACTTTTGTTTCCCCACGCGAGCGGAGTCGCGGGTGTCACCTAGTTTTATTATAAAAGGCTGTGCTTATCATAATTGTGTTAAATGTTTTATAACGAAACAGAAGGAGGTGGCACTAAACTTGACAAATGATGACCGGAGAAAAAAAATGTTGTTTATGTAGAGTCTATATAGTTAATTGCCTTTGACCATAGTAATTTGCCTTTATTTACAATAATGATTTTTGAACTACCAAAAGATCTTACTTTCCTAATTCAACAATTGTTGTGGGATTGTGGATTCAACTGTGTAATTCTATAACTAAAAATCGAGTAGTGTACACGAGATTATATAGTTGTGCGATAGTTTAGTCAAAGGTGTCCGCATGCTCTTAGCTTTCACATTGTGATGTAAATTGTTTGTTGATATTTTCAGGTGTCGACGATCTTCTTGTAGAAGATGGCGAGCATTATCTCTTCTGGTACAAGAAGCTGTAATTTACAATGTCATAGAATAAGCATTTTTAATTAAAAAATGCTTCTTTTCCATGTATCTCAAGTCAAAGTTAATATTTCATTAGATTTAGGATTTTAGCTATTAAGTAACTTGTAATGTTTGATTATTATTTCAAATATTAGATTTCTTTTAATGTTATGTTTATTTTAACAACAGTGAAGTGTTTTCGTATTTATTTTCTTTATAACTTGTATGTTTTTAAATATCACTTACTGTCCTTTATATTACAAACAACTTTACTTTTTGAAATTTTCTTTATTTTCACAATTATAGTGCGTCTAAATAATTTAGATTAGTTTGACAATTCATTTCGATTTTAGTAGGGATGGGTTGTGTAAAATGTCATGAATCTTATCGATTTTCGATTTTTATTCTTATAGAAGTTGGAATCGATAGATTTATAGTTATAAATTATGAAATAAAAAAAACACTGTTTTCTCAAATTAAAAATAACTATAACAAATAATGAGAGTAAATAAATGTTTATTACTACAGCCGTACGCAATCGAATTGGATTTCTAAAAATTTTGTTTGGAAGTCGGTTTTGTTTTTTTATTAAAAAGTTTATTTATTTCTCGATTTTTAGTGAATCTAAACATCGCAGTATGATAATCTCTAGCTTTCAAACAAAGTATGAGTTGTATAGTCATCGCTGAATTCTCTACATTATAATCAATGCTAGAAATGTCCTCAAAATTAGTGAATAAGAAAAAAAATAATATTAGTTGAGTTCGATAATTATTTAAAACGAATATCGATAGTTCAAAATTGTTCGCTGCGTGTTTCGTCACTACAATACCTGTCTCTTGAGTATGGTATTTGCCTTCATACAAATTGAATTCGATACTTCATATGCGTCATTTATCAAACTAATCTATCTTATTCAAACTATAATGTGATGAAAGTTTTGTTGTCTTTAACACGCATTTTTTTTTATTTTTTTATTCATAATATTTACGATAGTTCTAATATAGGGTTAATAAAACTTACTTTTAAATCTCTTAATCTAGATTTTGATAGATTAGTGTTGAAGCTAGAGATTTAACCGAAACATTAAATATACCTTTTACCTTTGTAGAAACTTTTAATAATATTAGTGTATCAATTTTAATATATTCTTTAGAAATAGAAGAAGTAATGTTACAAGCGCACAGCTTTTTTCCATATTTTAATTTGAAGGAAAGAAGTAATTCTGTTCAACATAGATTTATAATATCTAGATGGAGCATTTTAATGCATTTTTGCATTAAATTAAATAATCTTACTTAGTATTACAAATGTGAAGGTTTAGATGGATGGATGTTTGTTAGTTTGTAGCCTAAACGGCTGAACGGATTTTGATGATATTTGGTGTAGATGTAGAGGATAGTCTGGAAGAACATATAGGCTAACCACTTTATTTTTTTCATTCCTAGCGGACGGATTCGCGGGCGAAAGCTAGTCGTATATAAAAACTAAATTCAATGTAACTGTTGTTTTATTAGTACTATTTTTTTTTTAATTTTAATAACATTAATTTGTTATGAGATTTTTAAACCTTTACGCAATATTGTGTATGTTAAGAAAATTTTGGGTTTTTAATTTCTTTTAGATAAATGTAATAAAATAGCTTATTACACTTTTCAAGAAATGTTCACTTTATTTATTTTTTAATGTATATATTTGTGTAATTCGACTCATATTTTAAAATTTTACTTTTAGTATTATACTTGTATGAAATGCTCCATCTAGATTTATTATATCTATGACTTTTGACGTCATAACTTTTTTAAACAATAATAATTGAGTTTGTATGCTTTTTTAACCTTAAGACGGGTTTCAAATATCACTTCTGGTTATTCTATAGATTTTCAACGTTCTTAATAATACCTTTTAATATTAACTTAGATGTAAAAGTAACTTTTAAGGTAAAATTGTACTTTTAACAATTTTCTAGTAAAAGTTTAGTAAAAATTAGTAAATAGTGAAGTAATTTTGTTTTCAATGATTTTAAAGAATTTTGAAATGTAAGATTTCTTATATGAATAACAGCATGTTGAAGTAACTTTTTACTATTTTCTGATCTGTAAGCAATTTTACAATCTCTTTAATTCAATAAAATAGATTCTCTACGTAATTTCTATATTAATAGTTTTCTGATCTTTGTCATTTTAAGGACCTGTCCCACCAAAATGCGATGGAAATATCAGATTTTGTTACTTTATCTGACAGTGACGTCATACAGCTATCTGAGTCTATCAGCTAGTGGTGGGACAGGCCTTGAACTTTTAGATTATCGTAGTAAATAATGTTATATAGGTTTTTTCTTACCTAATGTCTAGTGTTTATCATATTAGGAGACTGAATGGTTCAATGTATTAATTATTCGTAAATATGCCTTATGTTTATAATTCAATGGATCTTAATAAAACACAGAAATCTTTGAAATATTTTTTAATTTCACAAAACATTAGTGTCCAGTGACGAACAAAAATTTGCAAGAATGTACTGAACTAGTTAAGAGAAAAGTACGTGGGATTTTGATTTGTGTTAGTACATTCGCACCTACATATAAACTCATTGGAATTAACAGTGGTAGTGCCCGCATTAACATGTTAGTGCAGGGCCGGCTCCCCCCAGTAATACCACGACCACACAGAAGACACGCGTGAAATGGAAGCAATACCGTGTTTCGTCTGATGAGTGTGGTGCCGGAGGCCTAATTTAAGTCCCTTTCTCTTTACCACCCTTTCTTATAAGTGGATGGGAAGGAGAAGTGGATTTGATGATGGAGGAGATGCATAGGAAGAGGAAATATCCTCTTTATGTGCGTCTCCTCCTCCGTCGGATAAGGGTAGGCGACGCATCTGTAATTGCGGAAGTTTATGGGCAGCGGTCGCTTCGCCATTTTGGCGGATTCAGGTGGCCGCTTGCTCGTTTGCCACCTTATGTTATAAAATAAAAAAACGGAACAGTTGTGCGATAGTTCAATCGAAATGCGCAATCTATAGAAAATATTATAGTGTAGTAAGAATTTTAACACCAACTTTTTAAGGTAATTCACACAATAGATTTAAGATTCGTGATTAAATTTGAAACAATGCGTTTGTAATTAATTCAGTGTATTATTAAATTCTGTACCCATGATTTCTTCTTGCTTGATTGTGCTTTTATCGCGTAAAACGATAAGCAACCAAGCGGTGAGTGTACCCGATAACTGCAAAGGAAACGTTACTTTCAACGAGACAAAACCACTCGCAATACAGCTACACGATTGGGAAGAGATGGGAAGAATAAAGTTTTGGCTAAGAAGGCTAAGAAGCTAAGAAGAAGACTAATAGAAAAGGAATCTAGTCCCCTAATGTTTAAACTCCAGATTAGTTTTGAAATTTCAGGTGGACGCTAGGTTGTTTGCTCTATTATCTATATTAATATTATAAAGATGAAATATTTTTACTTTTATACAAATCGAAATAACTCAAAAACTACGGGACCGATTTAGAATAATTTCATCAACATTAGAAAGGGAATATATCTGTGAGGAGGTATAGGACATATTTTCTAATATTTCTAATTTCACGCTAACGAAGTCGCGAATAACAACTAGTCATACTTCATATTAATATTATAAATGCGAAAGTTTAGATGGATGGATGTTTGATATGAGTCTGTAGCCTAAACAGCTAAATGGATCACGATGAAATTTGGCACAGAGGTGGAGGATAGTCTGGAAGAACACATAGGCTACTCAGTTTTATTTTTTAACTCCACGCGGACGGAGTCGCGGGCAAAAGTTAGTACTATATAAAAGTAAGTTATTAAATTACCTCTAGTATAAATGATCGTTTTAGAGTAAACAATTGAAGTGGCGAATACGAGGGAATGTTTGTGAAGACTAGACGATAGAATGCCTCCAATTCATTGACGAGAGGCCCGCTGGTAGTCGGAGCGTAGTGTGTAATTCTGGTCACAAACAGCCTTGTCACCTCCATCTGGCACAAATTTGGCAGTCATTTCCTCATATCTTATGACTTATACAATTATTTATTTTCTATACTATTATAACAAAGCGTAAACATACACTTTTTTGTTGCCTAAGATGTCAGCAATTACAGCATATTTTTGAATAATTTTTTTTTAATTAAAAGCCCTATACTTACGTCACGCTTTAGGCTATATACTTTCATGCCATTGAACTTAGGGGATAAATATTTTGGATAAAAACCTTAATGTGGGAAAGAGACCATAAGTTGCTACCAACATCAAGGAAGCAAGAATGCCAAGAATTGTCATGTCACGTCATTTTGACATTTGCTATCAATATATTAATAATTTTTTTATAATTTCATGCAGATGAAGCCGCACGGGAACAGCTAGTTAGTTGCAAGTTAAGGATTGTGCTACTAATTGTTGCCTGTTGATAATAGCTTCAATGTTTTAAGCATCCTGTCTCCTTAATTCAAGATAACTGGGTAATAAATTTGATGGAGTTCGTGTAATGGATTGCTATTATTCCTTTAGGTCAGGCTATTATTGTTTGGAACTGTTCATAGTTCTGACTTAACAAAGTTTTTAGATACATTTAACAGTGGTTGTCAACTGCTGAAACACTTACAAAAATACAATGATTTTTAGTTATTAGAATCCGTTTAAAGAGAAACAAAGATAGCATTTTGGTACAAGCATTAAAGCAGTGAAACCTTACGGTAAAATTGTAAACTTACCTCATTATATGTCCATTGACAGGGCTCCAGTAAAAACATAATGTTCATGAAAACTATCAGTAAACGACAGCACTGCAATGTCCTATTAATGGTCAATTCTTTTAACTCCGTGTCTGTTGAGGAACAACAAAAAATTACTTGTTTATAGCAAACCCTCTTTTTTAGGCCCAACTTTGGTCCCTTTTTTCTTCCCACCCTTTTTCTTATGAGAAAGGATGGAAAGGGAAAGTGGGTTACACAGCGGATGAGACGCATAGGAAAGGGAAATATCCTTTTTATGTGCGTCTCCACACCATCGATTAAGGGTAGGCAACACATCTACAAATGCGGATGTTTATGGGCAGCGGTCACTTCGACATTTTGGCGGATTCAGGTGGTTGCTCGTTTGCCACCTTATGTTAAAAAAAAATCAGGGTTAAAATACGACTTTCAAATATGAAGCTTATTTTTGAACCCCTTTATTACCTTTATAATTCCTAGTCTAAATTTTTACAAATTGAATTTTAATTTTATTGTTTTAAATTAATATTGGAATATTGTGATATTCCTGTGATAAAGTTAAGATTAAGATGGTAATTTAGATTTAAACTTAGTATACTTTGATATAAAAAACACCCGTATCTCAGATCCCTGATTAAAAAATATGTCAGGGGAACGACAGGGCATAAAGTCGCAAAAAAAAACCTTTAGAATTATACAATAATGATGTATGTCAGATATTTATCCAGTGAATTGATAGTGGATTATAAAAAGTTTTGCAAAGTAAATACAGTATTGCAAATCAAGATTAAGTTATGCAAGCATTTAATACGGACATTGAAATAACTTTGCGATCTGCACATATCGGCGAAAAAATTCAATGATATGTGTAAAATCAACGAACCCGCAGTGGGCCAGCGCTGTTGACTATGGTTTAGGCACCCTTTACTTAGGACTCCGAGCCCCTAATTGAGAATGTACATATAGTGATTTGGTGATGATTGAAATGACAAAAGGTTGAAGGCGTTGCTTTTGCTTATTATTTTATTCTACCTTACTTTTATTATAATTATCTTCTAACAAAATAATCAAACCTGCATAAGGTATGAACGTAATAGGATTTATGGTCCAAAAGACCACTAGGAAGAAAACACATTGCGTAGCTCTCAGCAGTTGTAAGATAGATGCCATCAAAATCATCAGTCCATTTTCTTTATCTAGTGTCCTCATGACATCGCATAAACCGCCGTATGATGTAGCCAATTGTCTCAGAGTCCTATGCGCTGATGATATTTCGGTACTTCCATCCTTATCTAAGCATATAAAGTAAAATAAAGTCTTAGTAAATCACATAAATAATGTTAAAGATATTTAATGATGGCAGAATACAAAGTTGGCCAGCGTGGTCAAACTATGGTCTAGTCTACTCGTAGTTACAGGTTGGCAACGCATCTGCTAATGCGGATGTCTATGGCCGGTGGTTCTTCGCCATTTAAGCCGCTTGCTAGAGTTCCACCTTATGGTATAAAAAAATCATTGCTAAAGTCAAAAAACCATATTATAATACGACGTTCATTGCAAAGATTGAGTGTACGAATTGTAGATTTTATATCGTAAATAAGGTAAAGTGTGCAAAGTTGAGTAACCAAATTGATATTATACGATTTACTTCTTTTAAAATCCGTCAACAACTTCCCCAGACGTCGATTGAGGGCTTGAAGCGTGGTGTGCACTGAGAGTATTGTAAACACGAACTGCCCCTCCACCATCGAAATAACAATAATTTCAAACTCATACAATAATACCCGGATCAAATCTGGAAAAAGCACACAATAGATGCCATAGATTTCCCGATTGATTTATAATTAAACCTAACAAGTGTCTAATCCAGTAGATGACCTTACCCTACTCCTAGTTATAGCGTCAGTGCACCAGGTTATTTCTCCAAGTTGATCTATTATCGGTTATCTCAGTCATTACTCCCCACTTGATCATGTCACCTTCTACGCGATCGCTCTTTCATTTTATAGTCATATCTCTACCAATGTACCCCAACTCCTAACTTAAGTAACGAGTGTAGTATTTACTATTACAAATAGGTGACTTTTAGCTTTTTCAAATTTCACTATACCGTTTCACTATAAGTAGAGGCAAAATTAGGAAGAGAAACATAAAATTTTGAACACTCACAGGGCACATTGACCTTTGTAGTGCTATCCCAATACATTGTGGTTTCAATGGTATTTAATAGCGGTAATGTTGTGACAAGAATAGTGAACAATTTATATCTTCTTTTTTCAACCTTAGCGACAGGAACATCGTGAACGTCTTCTATTTTTAACTGAAAAAGATATCAGATGTAACAGACTATCTATACTATCTTTAGACCGCATAACATCGAGTACCAGTTTAATGATTGTAAAATTAAGATTATCTACAATGAACCTGGCAAAGTCTTGCGTTGCTGACAAGGTTGGTTGGAATTGGTACGAGTATATGAGTAACACACATCTTTATATGCTGTTTGTATTGTGTTGTTTTATTTTATACCTTTTGAATTTCGTTGAGATTTTTACATAGTAGTTTTGTTCGTTGGTATCCTTTCAAAACTGAACCAAGTATGACTGTCGTACGAATAAACAAAGCGACGATTGATGACAACAGCATTACCCTTTTTTGTAGAAATTTGTTCATGGTTAAAAGTTGTGGAATAAATTGAAATAATTCCACTGTCATTAGGAGAACACCTGCAAAATATTTGAGTATAGAAAATGCTATTATTTAACAAAATATTTAAATAAAATTACGTTATTGTTAACCCGTGATGTCTTTTAAAAAGCAAAGTTATGTTTAAACAATCAGTAAGTTTCAATAAATTGGAAATAAATACATTAGTTATTTATGATGGAAAGGCTATTTGATATCATTGAAAGCAGGCAAGCATATTACAAAAACTTATGGATCTTCTATACTTACTGAAACAGCAATAAAACAAACGTGCAATGACGTCTTGTGCGAACGAGTAGCGAACAACGAATGCGTCCGCGAGCGGCACCAGTCGCACCGGTATCATCCCCACCACGCGCATTACACGCAGCAGTGCTGCCACCGCACCGTGAACAACACATTCCATAACCTGTGCTGACATTTCTATTCGATACCAAATAAACACGAAATGACGCAGTAGTTTATATCTACCCGACTTTTATATCTTCGATCTATTTCTATTTTCAATTTATGCATTAATAAGTGGCTTTTACATTTTTTCTGAACACTGACATTGTTGCATATTTTGTAGACTAGATAATTCCTGCGACTTTGTAGACGTTAAAAATATATTTCCAATAGATGTTACAAGTATTTTAAATATTTTGTTGTACCTTGTTTTACCTTGTTTATGAATAATCAAATTAAAAAGTTTACTCGTGATATCTTTTTGAATAGTAACTGCATCCAAGCTATTATTCATTTGTTTAGTTTAATAATCTTGCGTATAGCTGACAGTAAAGTTGTGATTTTATATGGACAAAGTTGACTGATATGTATCTAAAAATGCATTAAGATTTTAATGGACAAGTAATTATAGTAATTTGTCAGATAATGACAAATGCACATCTATTAAAAGGCCATAGATAACTTTGATCTAGTCTCCTGGTTTTTTATTTTAATTACAACGTATCTACTATTTTCTTATAACATTGATACAATAAAGCTTTCAAAATCCAGAATATTTGTATCGTTTTGAAACTGTTTCCCGATTTCCGTCTCAATAGCGCTGGAGAATCCTACTTCTTATTATAAATGCGAAAGTTTGGATAAAATTCGTTTTGGATTAAAATTGGTATTTGTTAAGTTTGTAGTCTGCTGCACTGATTTCGATGAAATTTGGCATAGATGTAGAACATAGTCTGGACGTAGTCGCGGGCGAAAGCTAGTTTTAAATAGTACCAAGTAGCCATACAAATTATGGGGTTTTCTATTTATTCTTAACTAATGTTTAGTGTTTACAGTTCCTCGCCAGCTCCATGATAGCCGGGCCATGACAGCCCGATTCCTTCTTGTCGGCCACCACTGAACGCTGCCAAGTTTGTTTAGGACTACTACGCTATAGTGTACCTTTTTTACCAGAGGGGAATGCCTTACACATACTCCGTGCCTCGGGGCAGGCACGAGAGTTATGTGGGACTCTCCCCATAATGGGGCACACCAAATAAACCCCTCTGTTCCCTCCTGGCCATTGTGTGGAGCGTCACGGGATCACTTTTGCTTGCCACCGCGACGCCCCACTGGCCGCCCCGGGAGGAGGCCCTCAGTGCGTCCCAATAAATTGACACCACCTCGTGACACGCTATAGTGTACCTAGCGCATCCACCCCAGGGTCTCCCTGAGAAATTGACTTTGGGGACATAGGGCAATGAGAAGCAGAATGTTTAATTTCTTGTCATATTAGGAGACTGAATGGTTCAATAAGTATTCGTAATTTAAAAAAATCTTATGTTTACTCTAATTAAATTGGCCTTAATAAAACACAAAAACATTTGATGTAGCCTTTTATTTTAGACAAGGAGCAAGTTAAGTTAACAATATCGTATCACACAAAAATCAAAAAAACACTATACTTTAAAATATTAAGTGAACACACACGAATGATAGTCAAATATGGTCACAAAACAGTATTCAAATATATTTTTTTGCTCTACATATCTCCTTTTGGGCGATTATTACGTAAAACAATAAGAAACCATGTGATGAGTGCACCCAATAACTGTAAAGAAACATTGCATTAGAAATAATGCAATCTTATGTTAGTTACGATTAGACAAAAAGACAAAGGAATATTTAATATTCTATGTACAACGGTCAATTAGTTTGCAGATTTCAACTGGAGACAGTCTCTTTTCTCACCTTTAATATACTAGCTGTTGCTTGCGACTTCGCCCGCGTGTAATAAAAAATGCCTTTATCACTCACAGATAAATTACCTTTCCAACCGTGCAAAAAATTTTAAAATCGGCCTAGTAGTTTTTGAGTTATTGCACACAAAAACACAAATCTTTCTTCTTTATTACATACTAGACTAGCATTTACCCTGGACACTGTCTGGGTGGAATAAAAAACACAACAGGCCATATGTGCTTTTTCTGTCCTCTATGTCTACGCCAAATCTCATCGAGATCCGTTTTGCAGTTTAGGCTAAAAACTCCAACAATCCATCTAAACTTTCGCATGTAAATTATCAGTAAAATTAAAATAACATTACAGTGATGCGATTACACTTATTACCTCCAATATAAATGATCGTTTTAGAGTAAATAATTGAAGTGGCGAATACGAGGGTATGTTTGTGAAGACAAGACGATAGAACTTTTCCAGCTCATTGTAGAGTGGCCCTCGGGTCGGAGCGTAATGTGTCAGTCTAGTCACAAACAGCCTGGTTACTTCCATCTGTAACAAATGAAGCCGTGTGAGTAGTTTTGTCACTCCTTAACTTCAGAACTCTATAGCACTGACACTTGTTGATAAATATTGTCGTCTTTTTCGTTACCTTTATAAAGTAGAGATTACAACTAATTTTATGCATGTTTCCTGTCAATAGAAACCCCACAGAAAATGCTGTAAAGTAAATTGTTCTATGCTATTAATTGAACGTTTGTTGACGATAATAGGTTCAACGTTGGAAGCGTCTATCTATATTTTGTACTCTTTACCTTTGTAGACAGAGATAGTAATGTATTTTTACAATAGTGGTTTAACTTAGCTTACAATAAAATTGTTAAGTTACCTCATTATATGTCCACTGGCAGGGTTCCAGCAAAAACATGATTTTTGCGATAACATGCACACATAGAAAGCATTGGAATATTCTATTAAGGGTTGATTTTTTCGACTCGATATCTATGAAAAAGCAACAAAAACCGCTTGATTAAAGAACAGTCAACACTTTTAACGAATTTCGAAGAAAATATTGATGGACCTTAACAGTTTTTAAACATTTAGAACTTATGAATTGATAGTAGATTTTGGATTTGAATAACATAATATAATTAATCAGAAGAAATATAATTAAAGCATATGATTCTTCTAGATATGTTCTTACGGTGAAAGAAAAGTATTGCATCCTGCCCATGTCGAAAAATAAATTCGACGATATGTGTAAAGACAACCCATAGTGAGCCAGCCTGGTTGACCATAGCCTAGATACACCTTAGAATAGGTTCCATGCTCTCAATGTAGACGTATAGTGGGCTGATGCTGATGATGATATGACATTGATAGAATTCGCGTCTTTCCTTCTTCCGTTTTGTTATCAATCGTTTGCTTTAAAACCCCATTCTGGTGTCTACATAAAAGACTTCAGATTCCAGAAGTGAATGCAAAATTTGTATAAACACACATGAATGTAAATTAAGCGAACCTGCAAAAGCCATATTCGTTAGAGGATTTAAATCCCAAAATGCGATTAGGAAGAAAGTAGTTTGTACAGCGTATATCAGTAACAAGATAAATGTCACCAAAATCATGAATCCATTCTCCTTATCCAATGTCTTCATGAGATCACACATAGTACTGTATGATTTAGCCAATTTCCTGAGGGTCCTAACTGTCGTTGATGTTTCGTCGCTATTCTCTTTTTCTAAAAAAAAAACAAAAGACTGTCACAGAAATAATTAGAAGACATTAAAGATGTGAATCAACTATTGCGCAGTGGACAAGCGTAGTTGTTAGTCAACTACTACGCGCGCTCTCAACTCAACTCCTAGCCGAAGACGAAATCCATTAGGTGTTTTTTTATAATAAAGTGTTTGAATTAATTAAGTTAAATTATCAATAGATAAGTAATCATGCTGGTTTATTACTTTTTTTCAAATCTATCAACAACTTTCCCAGTCGACGATTGAGAGCCTGAAGCGCGGTGTGCACGGAAAGTATTGTAAACACGAACTGCCCTTCCAACGTTAATGTCAAAAACAATCCAAATTGATAAGACATATTCTGGACCATGAATAAGTCTGGAAAAAAATACGAAAATGTCATTGATTACTTGTAATGTTTATATAAATATCTAATAAATATACGTATCAAGTAAGTTGACAGTAAAAGAGACCGCAATATTTTAAGGCCAGTTTTTGCTAAGTAACAGTAATTCAGTTTTAAAATATCTTATAATCAATATATTTATAAGATAAGATTAATTAATAAGATATACGAGTATAAGTAATATATCTTAAAACTATTGGTTTTGAAGCGAAAATAACTTACAGTAAAGACAATGATTTTAAGATTGTATGTACTTTTTGTTTTAATGGAACATAGTGTAGTATGTCACACATTAATACTTCATACTCACAATCATATTCATTAGTATTGTCAACCCCGACCAATATGATTTGAAAGATCTTCAATATCGGCCCTGATCCAAGAAGCATAAGGAAAAATTTAAATCTCCTTTTTTCAACTTTAACAGCCTCGATATCGTGAATGCCTTCTATGTTTAACTGAAAAAAAATATTGCATTGGAAATAACAACAGGAGATAATAAAGTTAAATACAAAAATTAATAATAAAATAAGCTAGTAAATGTCGTGTACACTATAGACATAAAACCTGCATAAACCATCCACAAGAACCAATAACATTCGTTGCTGCGCCCGGCGCCTTGAGTTGGTTTATGAAGGTTTACGTTGATCTAATAGGTAGAGCCTCTAACATCATTAGCACTAATGTGCCGGATCTGGAACTAGTCTCATAGTTGTATATGTGTGTATTAGGAGTATACCAATAGTATTATTTAATTATACCTTTTGGATTTCATTTAGATTTTTACATAGTTGTACCGTCCGTTGGCGTCCTTTGAATACTGCAGCAGTTAAAATAGTACAACGAAGAATAACAGCGATGTATAATGACATAAACAATGCCAGTTTGTGTAAATGTGTGTTGTTGGATAAAATTTTTGGGATAAGATGATACGTTTCCAATGTCATTATAATGAGATCTGCAAAGAAATGAAGCTTTACAAACAGCTACTTCTTATACAAGATCTTTTAATAGAAGTCCCCTATCGTTAACACGTGACGCCTACAAATTTTGATACGGTTTATTGATGCCTATAGGGCTGAGGAATTTGACAAGTGAGGAATCGCTATTTAATATCATTGCCACATACACGGGTAGTTCCGTGGAAATACCGACTAGTTTTAGACCCGTCGGGGTCTCCTTTATCGAGTTTTGAAAGTACACGATCTTACATTAGACTACAAATGGGGTTAGCGGTAAATTTCACTAGTGTTGAAATGCGTTTTATAAGTAAAACTCATATGTCGTGTTTAATAGCAACGATAGTTTTTAAGTAAAAAATCTCTAAATGTATAGTTAATAAATTCCATTTATTAGTATAGACATATAGATAGATAGAATTGTGTACTTACTAAAACAGAAACTTAAAAAACGTGCAATGACGTCTTGTGCGAACGAGTAGCGAACAACGAATGCGTCCGCGAGCGGCACCAGTCGCACCGGTATCATCCCCACCACGCGCATTACACGCAGCAGTGCTGCCAACGCACCGTGAACAACACATTCTATACCCTGTGCTGACATCTCTATTCGATACCAAATAAACACGAAATGACGCAATAGTTTATATCTACCCGACTTTTATATCTTCGATCTATTTCTATTTTCAATTTATGCATTAATAAATGGCTTTTACATTTTTTCTGAACACTGACATTGTTGCATATTTTGTAGACTAGATAATTCCTGTGACTTTTTCTACATTAAACAAATCCAACAAGTGCTTTTAACGATAAGGATTATGATTCCTAATGTATTTACTATAGAAAAAAAATAATTGTAACAAATTTGTATAAGTGCAGTTTGAAATTTAACCATTTATGTTTGAAGAATTATTCAACTAAAATAAGTTTCAACCTGACTTTATTTAATACAGTAACTGTATTATAGCTATAAATATAAATAAATATTAATTTTATTTACAAAGTTTGGAAAAAAAAACACTTCATAGATACGATCTAAAAATGCATTAAGATTTTAATGGAAAAGCAATTGTAGTTATTTGTTAGATAATAACAAATGCATATCCATTAAAAGGACATAGCTTTGCTCCAGTTTCCTGTCTTTTTTTTTTTATTACAACATATCAATTATTTAACATCAAAAATTGAAATTTAATGAATAATCTAGTAAACTCATCTCTTTTATTTTAACAGTCTGAATCTATATGTATAGTAATCTATAATCTATAGTCTACGAGCTTTCGCCCGCGACTCCGTCAGCGTGGAATTAAAAAAAACAAAAGTGAATAGCCTATATGTTCTTCCAGACTATCCTCTACATCTATACCAAATTTCATCGAGATCCGTTGAGCCGTTTGGGCTGCAAACTCTAACAAACATCCATCCATCCATGCATCTAAACTTTTGCATCTATAATATTAGTAAGATGTAATATTATGAAGGGAAAGATTTGTATTTTAGATTTTTGTATGTATTAATATAAATAAAAATTACTAGACTGATTTAAAATATTCTTTCAACATTTAATAGCTACCTTATCAGTGAGTAATAGGCTATATTTAATACTTTTAATATCACGCGGGCGAAGTGGCGAGCAACAGCTAGTCTTCATAAATGTGAAAAATTTCTAGTCAATAAAATTGATCATAGTGAAATCTAGTATTATAATTTAAGGTAAATCAGGAATCTAGATCAGAGAAATGTTCAGTTTAATATGTACGCGGCTGTATAATGCTGTCCGGTGACCCGCTGGAACTGTTCACTTATTCATAGCGCGCTTTTCACATCGCCCGCTACATTTAGGGCTCTAGGTTATGGGATCGTTTGACATTATAAACAAGGTAATTCATGTAAAGATAAAAATAGGACAAAGTATAGATTATAAGGCTAGATTTTTTTATAACATAAAATGGCAAACGAGCAAGCGGCCACCTGAATCCGCCAAAATCGCTAAGCGACCGCTGTCCATAGACATCTGCAATTGCAGATGCGTCGCCTACCCTTATCCGACGGAGGAAGAGACGCACATAAAGAGGATATATTTTACATATTTTCTTATAATATGGATTCATCGATGAGTTATAAAAATTGTTACGTGTTTGTATTCCGAAAATTCTTTGGAGAAAATGTTGAATTTTTGCCCCTTCTAGTGAAGCGAGTTCCAAATAACTCTTAACCTCTTAAAATTTAAAATTTCCTTATTGTTATTTATATCTATATCTATACTAATATTAAAATGAGGAGATATTTGTATTTTTGGATTTTTGTGTGTATTACATTCACATAAAAACTATTCCGATTTCAAAAATTCTTTCACCATTAAAAAGCTACGTTATCAGTGAGTAACATAGACTATGCTTTTTGTTATTTTCAATACACGTAGGCGAAGTCGCGAGCATCAGCTAGTTTATACTAGTGTTATAAAAAGGAATGATTTGTATTTTTGTTTGTATTGAAATAACTCAAAAACTACTGCGCTTATTTTAAAACTTCTTTTGCCATTAGAAAGGCAATTTATCTGTGAGTAACATAGGCTATATGTTTTTTATTTCACGCGTTAGTAGGCGCGGGCAAAAGCTAGTTAGGGAAATTGTTGAAGGTGCCTGATACAAAAAAAGGTATATAATTTACAACAGTTCTAAATTGAACATCAACAGGATACCGCATTGCCAGAGATTTCAGTTCAATAATAATTTATTACAATCTATGTGCTGGAACTTTACCAGTGGGTAAATTTTATTGCAACCATTTGTCAAAAGTTTATTTGAGTGGATTGTGAAGTGCACTTCTATGAGTTTTACAAAATGATTTCAAATAGTTATTGAATTGGCTTCGTTGTTAGCGTAGATAATCTTTATGAAATCGTTATTTTATCTGTGGAGTTTCTTTACCATTTGGTTGATTCCGGTTCTTATTGTCAAGAGAAAAGACTTATTTTTTTGTATTGTTAAGAAGAATATTAGTACCGTGGCGCAACACTAGATTGTCGGCATAAACGTCACGTCCCTAGCTGACAGCTGTCAATGTCATTAGAAGAATTGATATATTCGCGCGCGAATTGATATATTCCTGACGAGATCTCTAGTGGAGTGTTAAATAAATATTGCTAGTTACAATTATAATACTTTAAAAGTATATAACATTATTTTTATTGTTTATATTCTACGCATATAGTTATTAACTAAGTTCATATTATTTTTTTGAAAATCAGTATCCTTCTTATTAAGTTTCATATTTCAAAACAAAACACTGCCGGATTAATTTAGCATTGTAAAAGCGGTCGACAACCTTTGCATGAACTATCGCACAACTGTTGCACGATTGTCGATTGTTTTGCAGACAATTCAACTGTTTATTTGCATAACTAAAAATCGAGTAGTGTGCGCACCTCCATATAAGCTCATAGGAATCATAGCCAGACTAAACAGTTGTGCGATGGTTTAGTTTCAGTAGTGAGTATGCCTTAAGTAATGTCATATTCCTATAAAAGAAAGAAATGAAAAAGCATAGAATGAAAGTAAATCTCAAGACGGATTGTATGTTGCACTAATTAGTGTCGACTTTGTTTCTGTGTTTTCTCTATTTCGTTAATTTCAATATGACTATAATTTCAAACAGCTGTTAGAAACCTTTCAGACTTTTTTTGTCAATGGCTGTTATTGACTTAAGAACTTAAAATTAAAATATTTCCAGTACCAAAAGTATAGACACAGCGTAAGATACGTTAGTAATTTAATCCATGTAAAAAGTATAATAATTTTTTTTTACTGGTTATTTCTTTTGTTAAGCCGTTTTCTGTCATCACTAAGTGAAGAATAAGTGTGAAAACCTACATTAAGTTAACGAGGTATCAACAATACCGATACTGGAAGTTAGTGTGACAAGTGTTTCTTTTACGAATTGACCATTTATGTTTTTCTAGCTGTTCCCGTGCGATTTCATCAACATAAAATTATTTTATTGTATACATGTGTCAAATTGTCAATTGCAAATATCAAAATGACAGACATGACATGATGTTAGCAGCACCTTATGGTTCTCTTTCCCACATTAGGGTTTTAATCCCAAATATTTACCCCCTGAGTTTAATAGCGTGAAAATATATAGCCTAAAGCGTGACGTAATTGTAGGGCTTTTCATTGAAAAAAGATTTTTTCAAGTATATGCTGTAATTGCTGACATCTTAGGCAACAAAGTAGTGTGTTTACGCTTTATTATAATAGTATAGATATATAGTAAGTATAGATTTTATGAAAAAGCCCAAGATAGACCGATATGGAGGAATTTACTGGACCAGGCCCAGGCCCACCCGCGGCTGTAGTGCCTCTGATGATGATGATGATGATAGATTTTGTGATAACTTTTAAATATATTCAACGATATGTGTTACCGTATACCGATATCGTATAAACAATTTGTACACAAAGCTCTTCTAAAAAGACTGACTTGACATGAATGACGTCCGCCATAAACTGGACCACCCTGTATATCGTAAACGTTACGAGCTCGGGCAATATCTATAAACTAAAGGTGTTCTTTTTTGCAACGTGACGCTTTATTTATGACTTTTTCATTTGATTGGCCCTCAGTTTGATTTGATTCCTGCTTTTTTGTTATTTTAATTTTTATTATTTTATCTGCCGTAAAGTTCTGGCCATAAAGCGTCGCTTTAAGCATATTAGAGGTATCTACACTAAGGTATTGCTTGATTCTGTAAATGTCATTATATCTTCATCTATACTACTATAATAAAGCGTAAACACACACTACTTTGTAGCATAGGATGTCAGCAATCGCTGCTTTTTTTAAATAATTCTTTCTTTAATAAAAACCTCTAGACTTACGACACGCTTTAGACTATATATTTTCAAACTATTAAACATAGGGAATAAATAAATTGGAAAAAAACCTCCATGTAGGAAAAGGACCATAAACTAAAAGCTGCCAACACTAAGGAATCAAGTGTCAACAATGAAATAATATTTTCATAATCTCATGCGGATAAAGCCGCACGGGTACAGCTAGTAGTTAATAAAATTATAGTAAGAATCTGCATGAATCACAATGTTACATTTTTATGTGAACATTTTTTTAATTTACGTGTGTCCGTCCCCAAGTCCTCGTTTATCCCGTGTCATCTCCGAAAGAGCAGGACCGAGTTTTAAATGACTGGAAGATAGCTGATATTTGAGGACATATTATATATCTTTTGACTCCGACCTGACGTCGCGGGACACAGCTAGTCATATATATTACTTTGATCTTATTTGTTTAAGAAAACGCACAAAATATTCTATTAGTATTCAAAAATAAAATTGTAAGTTTTATTTAATCAATATTAAATGTTTTTTCTGCAGTGATGCGTATCCGAAGGCCCATCAGCATTTTTATTTACTCAGAAAAAAAAAATGTAATGAATACTCGAAACGTATGGAGGTATGAAATTCAGAGTTCAGACTATTTGAATTGGAACTTTTGCAATATAAAATCCACACGGAATGGTGCGGTATACGATTTTTTAATATAAATTAAAGTTCTATTTGAAAGTGTAGTAAACTGCAT